CCCCAAAACCCCAAAACCCCAAAACCCCGTGATGATAAAATTGAAAATGATTAGAGATTTATGAAATTAATGATTAATAACTTTTAATATGTTCTACATATCATACTTATTAAGGCCCTTATCACAACTTATACTATGTATTTAAGTAATCTGTGATGAATTGTTAGAATTATAGAGTCGTTTCCCCTTTTGGAATTATTTGATTGAGTTTCTTTAGTTTGGCTGCCTATGATGGTTATAATGGTTAATACTGAAGTTTTGATAGCAAATCCTTGGGAATAAATTTGCTTCTTGGAGGTATGATTTCGAAACCTTTGTCGAAATGTCTCTAAAAACATTGAAATTAAGTAAATTACCTCTCTTTATCCATCAACAACTTTAACAATCAAAGTAGATTGCATAGATTTTACTTTAGACATACTTATCAAGCTATTGACATATTCTTTGGTATTTCTTGAATTTCTCAACGACTCGACCATTTAAGGAGAAGGAGCACCTTAAAAGATTGGCAGCTGTAGTAATTAAAAGAATAAATGTTTATACTGAATAAATTCCAGAGTTGACATACAGCTCGATTCCACCCTCATCATTTTAAAGTTATTCAAACATTGGAAAGAAACTGAACCCGTAGTCTGTAAACGCTTTATCTCCAGCCTTGTAAATTTTAACATCGAAAATCAGTGCCATTCCTGGTGTTTCTTTTAAGTTCTTAAAAACGTATTCACCATCTTAGAATTTCTAAGTATGAACAGTGCTCTCAAAATTCAACTAAGCAAAGCTTATACACTAAAATGCTGTTAATTTATAATAAAATACATCAGCTGGCGGATTGACTCTATTAAAGTTATAAAATTCAGCAGTTGGGCAAACACTCATTATTACTCCGAGGAAGCCATTGACATTATTATTGTGAATTGCTTCAACTCCAGCTCTGAATCCGAATTCGGAGCTATATTACGAGAAGAAATTCATATCTATCATAATTGGATTCTAACTAAGAGTCATCATCTATTCAACAATCTCTAATTTCCTGTCATCAGGCTAAATTTTGTTATTATAACATTTCTTACCAAAGCTGGATTCTATTTTCCCATAATGACCATTTAGTCAATTATAGATGTTAATGGGGGATCTCTTCTTCCTTTTCTTACATAAAATAATCTATTTTCGATAGCAGTATTGAAGAAATATTAGGTATCTAAATAAAACATTATCTAATAGAAATTACTATAAATTCCCTCTTGGTAGACTGGCGCTTATATTAAGACTTCTTAATCTCCCCACTTTTCTGGAGCGACATTATCTAGCCCAAGTACTGTTCCATCTGGAGTTTTTGGTGCTTTATAGACTCTAATAAGCATTGATGCTGTCGGGATTCTTTCAAGATAGATGCTATGAAGATTAAAACTTAAGTATAATACAAGTTTTCATAGGTAAATGGTTGCTGCATATTTGGGAATTAGCAATATATAGGCATTTAATAGAATCCTTTATGAAGTGTGAATTGCTAAAACAATTAAAATATAATAATTACTCTTGCATTCTGGTCTGTTACAGGAAGTAGGGTCTGCTTATCCATAAATAATGGGAAATACGAATGTCCACAATAGCAAGGTTGACCGTTAGATTTATCTATTGTCTCAAAACTGACAAGAAGTATTAGAGATGGGTTAACTTTCTGTAACCTGACTTCATATTTAAAGCCAAAAAATGGGTTTCTTGCTGTTGAAAATTCTAAACTTGCAAATCCTTTTTACCCAGGCAAAGGATAGTTTAGACCAACATCTATAACTCTAACATGGCATTTTGTGAACATAGAATTATCTGGCAAGAATCTGGCCCAATCAACATAAATATCTATACCATCACCAGGACCGAATTCTTCACTTGGTGAGTACTGCTTTTCAAAGTTTGGAATAAACTATTCTGAATGAGGTCTCCCTTTTGAATCAATCATTCTATCAGGAAGTTGTTATTTAGCACTCAAAGGTTAAACTCTCGGCTGAATAATAGAGAATTTGACTGTAGTTGGAAGTACTTAACTCTAATCTTATCTGAAGAGATTTATAGGCATCCTAAATATACTCTATTCAAACGTACCAAATCTAATTGTTCCATCATCGTTATTTACTTAGAAAACAGTATATCCTATTGGCTCATAAGCAATTTAGCCATTCTGCTGCTATTGTTACTGAACTTAAGATCTAGGCAACTAAACGAATATCTAAATGAGCAGATAAAGATTATCTTTTACTCCATGATCCCAAATCATGTTATAAAGATCTTTCTACCAAGATGTTTCTTGATTAATTGGAATGACATATTCATCATATCCACTTTATCCAACAATGTTTTAGCCATAATCTCTAGGTTGACTTAAATCTTAGGCAGCTGGTTTGAAAATTTGAATTTGACCATCTAAGCCAATTTCTATTTTTGAACCTTTAGGTGCAAGAATTTAAGTGGATTTTTCTACTCCTGCTGATGCCCAATTACAATCCTGATAGTTGTCTTGTTTCACTATTTAAGTTCCCTCGTAAAGAGTTGCCTATACTTTAGCCTTCTAATAATTTTTTAGATTTCTTAGGTAGTGAACAAATAGTTGTAATCCTGAGATTTCATAATTAGGATCTCTTTAACCAACATCTTACGGAGGATTCACAAATTGATCTCCCATATTTTTACTAAAAGGTATTTAATTCTTATTTGTTGGTTTCCTTTAAATTGGCATGCTATTCTGTTAATTAAGAGGGGGATTTGTTTATCTTGGTTGATTATCTGGACCTCTTTACACATCATGTATATATGGCAAGAAATAATTTCCCTAAAAGTTAATATCTTGAATTAAAGCTTACTGGATTAGTTCTTCCGCTTGGCTAGGCCATATAAATCTCATCTTTGGGAAAAGCTATTCTGATACAAAGAATTAGATTAAGTAAAGGTTTTAGCTTAGGTATATCTCTCACATCTAAGTCTACGACTGTTGAAGGTCTATATATTGGCAATCTCCATTTACCCTTGCTAAAAAATAGTGATGAAATTAAGATTATTTATACTTTAGGTTATAATTGTTATCAAATATATTTAGAAGGGTCCAACCTAAACTAGAATACCCTGCAGTTTTATTTGGATCTGGTACCTGCAATTCTATTATCAAATTCGAAGAAGGGTGCTACTTAATATGCTTGATTAGCTGATTTGCATTAAAGAAGACTTTATTGAAATTAGGCTAGTCCATATCAGCTTCAGCTTATTTAGTTTCAACTAATCTTGGCTCAGTTAATGATTTCTTTTCTAAGTATATACTATATACTAATCTCATTTGTCTATATTCTCTTGGAATATTGTAAAGATAATCAATCATGAGATTAAAACCAACATTTGGATCATAATTTTAGTTCTAGTTCAATTATGGTTGTTAAAGTTATTGAGTATTTGGAGTTTAAATTTGCCTTTATTATGTACTTTGACTTGTAAGGGGAGGAGGAGGTTAACCAAATTATTAGTTTGTTTAAGGTCTTTAACTTTGTGTCTATTATTATTAGGAAGTTTAAGGTGGTTACATTTGATTATTATCAAACCCCTAATCATAATTCTGATTATTATTATTATTTCTACCAGCATTTTTAAGCTTTGCCTCAAGAATTTATCTTTTTTAATCCTCTAACCATTTTTCATGTTTGAATCTTCTCTCATCTTCATACTTTTGCTTCTCAAAATCTCTTCTAATTTTCTCAAGTCTTTATTCTTGAAGTACTTTCTCAATTTCTGCTCTCATTGTACTCAACTCTTTATATTAATCCATCTTATATCTGTAAAGCTCTGAGTTAACTGGTAGCTTTGATATCACCCTCAAGGAATCAAATTCTTGAGCGGTCAGATTCATCAATGCTCTCTCCTCAACTTCAAGATCTTCGCATCTAAATTCATTCTATCTAAAAACAAAATCCTCTGGAAAAGCTTCATCTTCATCACCTCCTACTGTACCAAGACCGCCTGGGAGTATCTTGCTTTTTAAATCATCTAATTCTTTAGTTGTTTGATTAATGATACCATCAAAATCATTGATATTTCCTGCGGTGTTTCCTATACCTTCAAGAGCTTCTCTTAGTTTCTGGTTTTCAACTTCTTATTATTAGAGCATTTAATTCATTTGCATCATCATAGGATCCATCATAGGTGGAAAAGCACCTGGAAAAGGAGGCATACCTAAAGGAGGGGGTAATCCCATGTGAGGAGGTATTCCTAATCCTGCTACAGGTGGATAGCCTGGAAATGGTGGCATTCCAGGTGGAGCCATCAGAGGTGGATTATTACTAGTCACATGAATTTAGTTTACTTGAGGTGGATGGCCAGGTTAATAATTATCCTTTTTACCGGGAATATCTTTTCTGTACTGAATAAAGTTTTATAGATCATTAACTTTAGTTATAAAATCTTGATCTTCTCCTCCCTTTGTTAAGTATTCATCCTTAAGATCTTTCAAGTTGCTGAGCATTGCTTTTTTGCCTTCTCCGTATGGTATATGATCAGGCAAGTCAGCTTAGTAATTATAACTTCCAATATTACCATTTCCATTCATTTAATAACTAGATGGAGCAGCAGCTTAATTCTCTAATTTTTATCTTATAGTTGTCAAATATGCTGGCTTATTTGGAGTATTTCTGCCGTCATATTCATTAGCCATATTACTTGCTTCATTGATGAAATTCCTGTTTTCCATTTCCTTTTAAAGAATATCAAGCTCATCAATTTCTGGCAGCATTTCATTCATAGTCTTTTTTTATTATTCTCTAAGATAGTTAACCCTTACTGTATCAGTTATTAGTTTATCTTTGATCGATGGCTCTAAACTTTGGAATTTGTCAGCTCTAAAATCTTCAATTGATCCCATATTCTTAATAGCTTCCCCAGCATATCTAGCGGCATCATTTCTTCTAATCCCACCAATAACACCTGATTTTACCTTGTCTAAATCATCCATAATTCTTGTTCGCTCTCTTTCAAGTTTGTCTCTTTATGCCTTTATAGCAACTATTCTTTCTCCTCTCTCTTAAGCAAGTTCCAGTTCCTTTTTTCTGACATCGTTCATTGCAAATGCTTTGTTAGGATCTCTTTCGGCATTTTCCTTTTGCTTTCTGAAGTACTTTTCCTGCTCTATCAGCTACTATTCCATCTTCTTTACTTCATCCATCATAGCGAGTTCTCTTAATCTGAGATTCTCTCTTTCCACTGATAGCTTCTCTAATTCTTTTTTCCTATCCCTTTCCAAGGCATTGAGTTATTTCTTGTCTAAGTCCTAAAAATATTCCTTAAGTTATTAAGTTTTACTTTCAGATTTCTTTGTATTTCCTCTTTTTCTATCTGAGCTCTTAATTCCATTTCTTTTTTTTATTCCAATTCTCTTAAAAGATCCACTAGGTCATCCTCATCTTGATCTTTCTTCATTCTCATTAAGTGCTTTTCCTTTTTAATATCTCTCATTTGATCTACCATATCGCCATCTTTTTTGAATTATTATCTCCTCTGAGCATCATCCTGATTTAGCTTCCCTGTTTAGAAATAGCCTCTCAGCTCGTCAAGATTATATTCCCCCATGATGCTTTTGTTTGGAAGGCCTGGATCTTCTCCTCTTAAATATTGCTTGATCTAAAAAGTAGATTAAATCATATCAAATTTTACTTCATTAAGACCAAGTGATACTTTTGGGTCCTTTTGATTTAAATCTTGCAGTCTTCTTTCTAATTTTGTAACGTTGCCATATTCTCCATCGATGCAAAACTAAGAGTAGGGTTATTTCAAATTATGAGACATACTTTTCTTTGATGATTAGATAATTCATCAGGAGAGTCAAATTTAAGTTTGCAGTTTCTAATAATAGCTTTACAATAAGAATACTTACTCGCATTCGTATTTATTTCTTATCATTTTTGATTTTATTAATTTATAATATTCTTAATTTTAAATTCTACAAAACAGCTTAATAAATGAGGGGTTTTGGGGTTTTGGGGTTTTGGGGTTTTGGGG